TTCATTTAGTGGAGTCACCCAACATCCTTTGGATATGTAACTCCGGCTTCAGAGCTACCCGCATCCTCCGGTGATCCTGCTCACATCATCTTAAATTAGTCACCTTCCATTTGTAGTACAACTGTTGTCTTCTTTCCATTCAGTCGGCTAACTTCCCCTTACCCATTTATCGTCCCCATTTATCCTCCAGCCTTCTACTCCACCCTCCTCGACCTGACACCTCAGTTCCCCATTAAAGATATCGTTCAGGACCTTTCGGTACCTTTCAGTGTTTGTTGGTATCACTCGGACTTTGACTAAAGTCCTTCTCCTCCTCCCTCTATATATACTTGTAGATTAGAACCTGTTGTACCTCAGTTCTAATCTCAACCAAAACTTACCCCAAGTCCCTCTATGAGTGAATCCTGACCCCCTCCTACAAGATACCTCAGACATATGAAATGAAAGGACTAACTGAGACGTAACAGAGGCACAGCACTCCCTCCGAGTCGCTGAGGCCACATCCTTCTTAGAGCCTCTTGTACCACCCAGCAGACTCGGGCTTCCTGGAGAAGCTTTGGTTCACTACCGGAGCTCTTGGAACCCCTCTAGTTGAGCCCTGCCTGCATTCAGACTCATGCCCTCTTTCGGGGTTTTTGACAGTTTCTAACAATAGAGATATAAGCAAGATGATGCAGTAACCCATGGAATTTCAATGTCAGAAATTTACATAATTGTGCCATGGCAAGTGAGACTGCAGAGTAGATAATTATAGGCACACAGAGTTATCATAGGTGGTTGTGTGCAGGCAGATGCACATTTCAGTGTCCAGAAAATAGTGGTAAACTAAACCATATGGTATAGTAGTTTATATACTATCAAGCTTATCAAAGGCAGGTGAAATATTGAGAATGGAGACTTTTCCAGATTCAGTTCCAAAAGCTGTAAGACTTCCATGGGAAACAAAAGTGGTTAGAATATTAAGGGGTATAGCAAAAATATAAGTAGAGCCAATGCAAAGCCATTGCCCTTCCATCATGTTAAGTATGCCAAAAGCCTCAGGAGTCACCAAACATGGGTGGCTCTCATGTGTTCTGAGGTGATTCCCAGTGTGGGGGTCCCACAGCCTGATGGTATGATCATCTGATGATGATGCCAAGAGTAATCCATCTGGAGAGAAGGCCACAGATGTCACTCGATCAGAATGGTCCTCAAGTGTCTTGAGGTGGCTCCCAGTGTGAGGGTCCCACAGCCTGATGGTTTCATCATGTGATGCTGATGCCAGGAGTAATCCATCTGGAGAGAAGGCCACAGATGTCACCCAACTAGAATGGCCCTCAAGTGTCTTGAGGTGGCTCCTAGTGTGAGGATCCCACAGCTTAATGGTATGATCATGTGATGCTGATGCCAGGAGCAATCCATCTGGAGAGAAGGCCACAAATCTCACCCAATCAGAATGGCCCTCCAGTGTCTTGTGGTGGCTCCCAGTGTGAGGATCCCACAGCCTGATGGTTTCATCTTGTGATGCTGATGCCAGGAGCAATCCATCTGGAGAGAAGGCCACAGATACCACCCGATTAGAATGGTCCTCAAGTGTCTTGAGGTGGCTCCCAGTGTGAGGATCCCACAGCCTGATGGTATGATCATCAGATGCTGATGCCAGGAGCAATCCATCTGGAGAGAAGGCCACAGATCTCACCCAATCAGAATGGCCCTCAAGCATCTTGAGGTGGTTCCCAGCATGAGGGTCCCACAGCCTGATGGTTTCATCATGTGATGCTGATGCCAGGAGCAATCCATCTGGAGAGAAGGCCACAGATGTCACCCAACTAGAATGGCCCTCAGGTGTCTTGAGGTGGCTCCCAGCATGAGGGTCCCACACCCTGATTGTACAATCATGTGATGCTGATGCCAGGAGCAATCCATCTGGAGAGAAGGCCACAGAAGTCACCCAATTAGAATGGCCCTCAAGTGTCTTGAGGTGGCTCCCAGCATGAGGGTCCCACAGCCTGATGGTACAATCATGTGATGCTGATACCAGGAGCATTCCATCTGGAGAGACAGCCACAGATGTCACCCAATTAGAATGGCCCTCAAGTGTCTTGAGGTGGCTCCCAGCATGAGGGTCCCACAGCCTGATGGTTTCATCTTGTGATGCTGATGCCAGGAGCAATCCATCTGGAGAGAATGCCACAGATGTCACCCAACTAGAATGGCCCTCAAGTGTCCTGAGGTGGCTCTCAGTGTGAGGGTCCCACAGCTTGATGGTATGATCATCAGATGCTGATGCCAGGAGCAATCCATCTGGAGAGAAGGCCACAGATCTCACCCAATCAGAATGGCCCTCAAGTGTCTTGAGGTGACTCCCAGTGTGAGGATCCCACAGCCTGATGGTTTCATCATGTGATGCTGATGCCAGGAGCAATCCATCTGGGGAGAAGGCCACAGATTTCACATGATCAGAATGTCCAGTCAGAGTGGCAATGCTAGAGGGCCAATCTGAATCATGCCCATTATGCACAATTACAGTTGGATTGGGTCCTTGTTGGAAAGCTCCCAAGAGCTGGCTATTGATGGGAAGGAATGGTAAAACAGACTGGCTGATGTGTGCTGCACTAGCTTCAATGGTGGGGGCATAGGTCAAAATCATCTGGAAGGCTTCATGAAAAACAGGGGCAATGTGAGCCAGGAGACTTTTTGATCTCTAATTCAATAGTCAGTACTATGATCATCAATCAAGTAGCCTGACCACTGACCATCCAGGGAAGGATTTCCTGTATACCCCTAGCTGCATCACCCACACAACCCATCATGCTCATCATGGCAATCCACCGTAACAATAGGCCCTTTCCCACATTATTCCCAAGACCAGTGAGCCTCTCCAGCATATCCCTAACCTCACCATCAACCTGCTGAACCTTTCCCAAATGGGATGTCCAAAAGCGGCATGCATACTGCACTTCTTCCCCCACTACTGAGGTAAGCTTGGCACTAAGATTCTCCACACCTACATTGAGCGAATTCCATGGAATAATCTCATCTACTGCAGGAACAAGCTTCTCATTGAGAAGATTGAGGCAGCGAAGGGCCATCCACCTCCCATGCTTCTCCACATCAACCCTCACTTCAAGATCCTCACACCGTTCCATGATAAAATCCGTAAAAGAAGGGTGATAGATCTCCACTTTTCCCTCCAGCTCTGAGGGTAGTGGAATAATGGATTGTATGCGGGTTAGCAATGGTTTCGGATCAGGGACTGTGGCGAAAGTGCCAAGTGCTTTCATAGGCAATGGATCTTTCAGCAGAACAACGGTATGGAGAAGATGGTAAAACCGGGGACGTATATCTTGAGGGATTCCATCCACACCCGTGGACAAGACTGTTTTATAAAGGCTGTCCAGGTCAGCATAAGGACTTGCATCAGTCGGATCTGCACCACCCAATACAGCGCACAGTCGACGCTCAGGATCCATAGCCTTATCATCTCCGATGAACTTGGATGCGGTAGCAGCCCAGATGAAGAGTCCGCCAGCTTTCCTTGTGAGATCTAAGACAGTTTGGGATGAAGGCCACTCATCCTGGATGATATCACTAAAATCTTCGCGAATAGACTTGAACCGGTCTTGGAGATATAGCTCAATGTCGTGAGAAACAATATTCTTATCAACTTCATGAACTACAACCTTGTCGATGTTTGCGGCCTGGTTGAGCTTGACAGTGATATGGCGCTCCGGGCGGCTTGTTATGAGTATACGGAGGCCAGGGATGCCAGTGCAGCAGTCGACAAGGTGACGGAGTATTCCTTTCGCACCGTCTGCTTCGTCTCGATTACACTCATCTAGAGCGTCAATCACTAGTAAAAGAGGTGCCGAAAGATCGACGCGTCGAAGGGGCACGAAGAAGAGGTCGGAGCATTGGGTTGCAAGGGAGGCACGGGCAAGCTTCTCATCTTTCTTCAAGGCTTCCGCAACAGCCGCGCCGAAAGCCGAAAGCTTCTTGGCGAGGTCCCGTACAATCGTCCCAAGGAAGAATTTCGCACTGGACAACCCTGCATGTTGACGGACGAAAAAGAAGCTTGACCCGAGAAGGCCAGACTCCTTGGCGTACCGCGCCATGGTGCAAGCGATGGTCGACTTGCCAATCCCGGCCAGGCCGTTCACCCAGAACACAGATTTACTTGTATCGCTGATTGGTCGGTGCAACCATTGCTTGATGTGATCAAGGATTTCGGTTCGCGTTCCGGGGAAACAGTTGGATGGGGCGCCCTGCCTGCTGGTGTCATAGCCGGCATCAAGTGTATGAGCAAGAGTGTTAAGATGAGAATCCAAGCGAAGTTGCTACACTATTGGTTAGCTCGGGAGCTAGGAGGATAACTGTAAACCGAACTGCACCTCAATCCCTAAGGCAAGTCGAACTACTTGCGCAGCCTATGTCCATTAATTAACGTTTGATGCATGGCTTACACGTCGTGGAGAAAGCTTACTTGAAAGGCCCTCACAGCATCACGTATCCCTTCCCCAGCTTCCTGGACATCGCCGCCGATTTTGTTACGATCCGCCCACCGCTGAACACGACTTTGGCCCTGGTACGATTTCAAGGGCGAGATAACCTCATCAAGATTACTGACAGGGGAATTCAGAATTATTCCGACTCCGAGATACTCTCAAACGCACGCCGACAATGCATCGATTGCTTGGGCAAGCTCGGGTGGAACAGCACCTTTTCCCTTATACTGTTCCAGCGGCTCCGATACGGACCGGTTAAAGAATTTGACACTGTTCTCGAGTTGACTAATCGCATCGGCGTTGCCACTAACTTGCTGTGAGATCCGGGCATTAAGGATCCGCTGGCGCAGTTCTGGATCTCACTCACTTTCAACTGATTGACTACTTCAAGAAAGCCGCTGATCATGCTCTTGAGTCCAGGAACCGGGACACTATCGAGAGTCTTTTCAGCGATACTCAACAAGCTCAGAACACCATTCCACGTGCTGAGTCCCGTGTTGAGTCCCGTGTCCCAACTTGACGATGGCAGCGTGGTTGTGGCAGAGGCCCCTGCAAATGGCAGACTTTGCGATGATGTATCTTTCTTCTTGGAAAAATTTTCCTTGAATTTCTCCTTGCCTTCCTTGACTTTCCTGAACATTTTGGACATATTGCAACGACGATCGAGTACAGCCCCTTCAAGTCACCTAATCAGGAAGCCCTTAGAGTACAATAAGCGCCGTTCTGGCGGTTCTACGTGTGCTAATATGCACACACCCCGTACTCGATCTCACGCTGCAACTCGCGTTGAGCTTTGCTCTGTTGGGAACACCTGCCACGATATGATCGGAGGAGTTGGCAAAACTACTTAGCTAGGCCGGTCTCCCTTTGCATGGTTATTGAGGCATTAACCCAACGCGATGACGAATTAATCATGCGGAAATGCGTAGCACAACAGATAGGAGATTCAATGGGAGTTTTTGTGGGAGGACATGGATAAAGCCTACTTATTTCGTCAGCTCCACCACAATCAGACACTCTCACCTGTTTCTCCCCGATACTGTCACCCTCAAATTAACCTACGCCTCCCGATCAGCTAATTTCGGGCACCGTTCTCGATATCTTAGTACGCCGATGAACGAAAGACAGTCGGCCCCGCCTAACTAATACTCCCTAGAGTCCACTGTCCAGACAAAACGTGCGTGTCCTGGGCCATACAATCGCGTTGGACCTCACTGACAGCAGTGAAGGGCCGCTTGTATCACTGCTTACAGTGGCATGCGAGCCTTCCTTAGTCTTGGCTTTGCCTTTCCCTCGCGCGCTAGCCGCGTTTGGTACGCCACTTATCGTGTCAATGGAAGACCTTCGTTCATTGCTCTTGGTTTCTGCTCATATTCAGCACATTCCTCCGTCTCACGATGTCTACCATTTTCCATCCTGCTACTTCACTCATTCAACTTCATCATGGGCACTTACCCTGACGCGGTCGTTTTGTGGCCATTGCTATCGACGCCGAGTTCAATCAACGCCACCGATGCCTACCCCATGTATCACTCACATTTGCCATCCTCCACCATCATCCGAGTCAACGCCACAAATATTTATTACATCGGAGCATCGTCCTTGCAGTCTGTTAGTGCGAAAAAGTTCTCTTTTTACAGTGAGTAGTGGCCTGTTCCGTTGTTGCTCTCACTTGATATCACATCAGCACCTTCATGTTACTTCCTAGCTGCCTCAGGCTAGTCAGCCAATTAACTCACCCTATCAAGGGGTGTTTTTTACGCTTCAAATAGGGCCTAAACGGCCTATTACAATGTGGACATCCTGGGATGTCCTGGTGATGCGGCTTGCTGCCAAAAATGGACGGTGGGAAAATCTGAGGACGTCCTGATAACTATGTGCCCTGCGATGTTAGGGGAAGTTGTACATACAGCTATTTACATAAATAGTAGACAGGAAAATCGAAAAGATAAATCAAAATTATCGAAATGAGGTGGGGGAATGGGCAATGTTTCTCAATGATTTCGAGCATTTATGGAATTATACTTTGCCGTGGTGTTTTCAAAGGGATTTTTAATGCTTATAAAGATTTTTGAGATTTTACAAGCCATTGTAGATAACCATTATCTCTGGTATGTGCAAGCCCCTTTCCCACACACTATGGGTTGCTTGAGAGGCTGGCATCTCTGTCAAATCTCCACCGATTTGGAAGATTCTCCTCTTTCCATCACTTAAAAGTACATACAAGCTCTGGGTAAGGGGAAATTTATAACTTAATAGCTAGGAAGAACACACATGTTATGTCGCATGTAAGCTTATATATTACCACATTCAAGTTCTAACATGTTGTTGTCATGAATATTCACCGAACATGGATTGGGTGGGAAAAGGGATAAGGTTGACATCCAGAGTCTCTCAGGAGTCTTAAAAATATTGTCAGGGCAACCACACCTGACCATACAACCCCAGAACCACCTTCCCTAACCTCCCCCACTTCCCTCATCCTCCCATCTTTCACAACTACAGCCCGCATGCGAACCCGTGGGAAAAATCACGTGGGTCAAGGCGAGCAACTCGCCTTAACCCATGTGACACCTTTTCCGCATCGCGGGAACATGCTCGGCTTCTACCCAGAGTCACGCTACGAACTGTACAGTACATTTCCTTTTATAGCAGCCAAGCGGGGAATAGGGAAACTTACCCTTCTTCTCAACTCAATCCCCGCTTAGGCAAGTTGTAGCTACCTTCCATAATACATGACAACTCAATCCCCGCTTAGTGAGTTTGAGGAGCTTGGGATAGGATCTGGCACCTGGCTGCCTGGGACACCGCAAGTGTCCAGCTTTGAGGTAGGGCTGCCCCCGGACGGAGGCCGGGCCCTGACAAATATGAAAAAATATTGTGAGTGCCCATGGAGTATACCTTTCTTATAGTACCAAGTTTGAGAGAAATCAATGGCAGGTTTGTCAATATATTTGCAAATTATGCTGATTGATGGCCACACAATGAATAAAGTTGATGATTTCCACAATGGCTGCACTAAATCTCTCTGCTACAGCCCACTTCGATTCATTTTGATGACAGCTTTCTAATGATACAAATTATGTGGAAATCGACAAAGAAATGGGGGATATGTGGGGGAAATACTGCTGGAGCAGCTGTTAGAACTGGGCAAGGGCAGATGATTCCAGAGGGGAACTGGAGACTTAGCAAGGAGGGACCTTGGCCTCAGCGACCCAAGCGGAGTGCTGTGCCATTGCTGTTTGTCCATTTGGTCCTTAATTTCAGAGGCAGCGAGCAGGAAGTCTCTAGGGGCATTTCAGGTCAATTTTAGACTGAAGGTCCAAAACGAGTATGTACAAGCACCTGTATATAATAGGGAGACGAAAGCACAAGGGAAACAAAGGGGGTCCAAATTGGAACAAAGGCGTCCAAACGGGAACAAAGGGATGACAGAAGTGGAGCAGTACTGAAGGTCATAAGTCAGAACCTGTGGTACATCTGAAAGGAGATTGGGAGGGTGAAGCCCAGAGGGGCAGGAGGGTGAGGTGAAGTGGGGATGACGACTAACTGGCTAGAATGGAGAGAAGCAGCAGTCCAAATAAGGATGAGGGGGAAACGCGAAAGATACATTACAGACGGTGAAAGTGCCATGTATGATCCATGGAGCTCAGGGGTTATGGAGCTTACGGAGGCGGGGTTGAAAGTCCGAGGAATATTGGCAATGGTGTTTATGTAGTATGAGGTCACCAATGCAATGGACTTAAGCCAAGGTGGAGTCAGAGTCCGAGGTCAGAACTATGATGGAATCTCGGAGCGAAGGTATGAGCAATGTCTGAGTACAGGGTATGGGACAGTGGCAGAAGGTCATAATTTGCCAGAGGGTTGGTGGGAGAGGGTCAGAGGAAGGAGAGAGGAGAGAGGAACAGGGAGAGGAGTGGAGTAGAGGAAAGGTGTCAGGTCCAAAGGTGAGTATCGGAGCAGACGGGAGAAGGGTAGGAGAGTGATGGAAGGGTGGAGGTGTCGTGAGGAGTAAGAGGAGGAGTGAGAGGAGGAGTAGGAGGAGGAGGGTGGCGAGAGGAGTGGTGTTCGGTCTGAGGTGAGTATCGGAGTGGACGGCAGTAGGGTAGGACTCCGGAGGTGGTGGAGATGGGGGTCCGGGAGTCGGATTGGGATCGGGTATGTACAGATATGACAGCAGCCTGATATGAAAGAAGGTCAATGCAAAACCAAACCGTCCCCTTTCATGCATTTTTTTGAGCACCAATAACCTCTCCTCCCCTTTAGCTTTCCAACAAGCTCAATTTTATTGAAATTGGCCCAGTGGTTCTTGACAGGTGCTGTCAAGTCCACATGAGATTCAGCATGGTGTTGAATGGACCACATGCAAGAATCTCTACTAATATTGGTCCATTCAGCACAAAGATTTTCGTGATAAGAGAAATGGTCCCACTCTATCGATCGAGCATAAGAAGGTTTGTTTTAAAGGTGTAGTTGTGGAGATCATGGGGTAAGAAGTTGTCAGGGACCGACCTGGGGTCAAGAGCGTCCAGGTATATTGCCTGGGGCTGAGGGCCTGGTAGGGTGTGATGCAGGCACACATAACAATGGGCCCGAAGCAGACAAGGGTCCCTGGCCACTTAGGCTAAAGTGGGAAGTGTGAGAAGAAGGTTGCTTCTCAGTTCCCACTTAGGCTGTGTTTATATACATGTGGTTAAGGCCATGTGGGAAGTGCCATGTCATCTATGCACACAGCCACATCTGTCCAGGTACCTCCACAAGAAGTCCCAGGAGCGTCCGGTACGTGGGAGGTCATCCGGTGTGTCTGGGTCCAGGCGTGTTGCACTGCAGCCGGGTCAATGGTACATTGATACAAAGGAAGTCGTCCATGTGATAAGAAAAGAAGAAAGAGGAAAGAGAAGAGAAGAGAGAAGAGTAAAAAGGGAAAAGGGGGGAGGTCAGGAGGAGTGGATGGTGGGGCACCAGGTCAGGTGGGGCTGGGTCAAGTGGGTGTGCCCTGACAGAAGTTGAAAGTTATGTTATGCATGAGAATCCTGCTTGGGAACTGAAAATGGCTTCAGAAAAATAGAAAAAAATTGGAAAGAGCGAGTAATGTGGGTGGGAAATGGATGTGAAAATGGTGGAAAAACTAGGCCTGTGTGCTTTGTAGGCTACAGCATAAAATCCATAAAAATAGTTATTTTGTCATACATGAACTTTTCCCTGTAGAAACAAACAGAGATAATATGCCATGGTAGCTTCAAGAACATTTCAATTGGCTTTAGGAAATGGAAACCACTAATAAAATAAATTACAAAAGACAGAACAATAAGAAAGTAGCCTGGAAACCCAAAATTGTGTTGGAAGCCTCAACCACTCCCCATAACCGTGCCAACCTTACACCATTCAACTACACTAAACCTTAGCTTTCCAATGCAGCTGGTCTCATTCAAAATGTGTCAGGGACGGCTTGGGGAAGGCAGAGGTAGCGGCGTAACGCTCGGCACTAGCGGCCCGGATGGCAGTGGGGCGGTGAGACCGTATAGTGGATAGCCCTTACTCGGGCTTACGTCCCTGTGTGGCTTCTTAGGCTGAAGTGGGAAATGTATTGTTATTAGGGTGGGAAGCCAGACTAAACTAGGGTACTTGCCTGAAGCGGGAAATGAGAAGAAGGTTACTTCTTCGGTCCTGCTTCGGCTTAGTTTATATACATGTGTGAATGGGTCACGTGGGGTTGCCACGTCACCCTCGGACGAAGCTGGGTTACCGTGGGTGGTTCCGTGGTCGATCCCGAGTGTTGGAGGGGAAGTACAAGTAGAAGTGCACAGCGTATCCGGCGTTGCGGTGCTCCTACGGGGTGCTCAGCGTCGGACACATCCATGCTACAAGGGTAGGAAAGAAAGAGAGGTCGTCTGTATAAAGATAGAAAAAGAGAAGAAGGAAAGAAGAGAGAATGAGGGGATGAGACAAAAGGAAAAGGAGGTGGCAGCGGCGGCGGCAGCGTGCCCTGACAAAATGGTGGAAAAATGAGCAAGATAGTATGGGAGGAGTGGGGAATATATTGTGCATTTCTGTCAGGGCATGCTGCGCCACACTGTGCCGCCACTGTAGGAGTGCATAATGGGTGTGCTCAAATTCATGGAACCTTATGCAGCAAATAGGTCAAAATTGGGCTCCCGCCCTTGTACATTATTAGGAAGAAAGAATGATAGAGGGGAGTAATAGGAAAGAAGAAAGAGGGTTTTCGTACGAACCGAATGAGCCTTTCCGCGAAGGAATTGGTTGAGATTTGGTGGTGAAATTCAACCTGAGATGTCCTCATGAGCAAAGTCCGTGCACTTGACTGCAACCATGAGAACAAGGTCAAAAGCTGACGGAAGAGGACGATCTTGGGGGTCATTAAATCGAGAAAAATGCCCAAATACTCAGTGTTGAATTTCACCCTAATTGCTTCAGTGGTTGTGGAGATATTCTGATTATCAAGCATGACAGGAGTCATGGGACAATATGAACTATGTGGAAGCTCACGTGCGAGCTATTAGAATAGTGACTATGTCACGTTAGACTCAGACTCGAATAAGAGTTCTATATTGTAAATACCTATGTCGTGTTAGACTGCGACAAAGATTATACATGAGTCATAAGATAAAATACTGAGAAATAGTTCTCACCTCAGACTCGAATAAGAGTTCTGAGGGAGAAAGTCTAAGGAATTCCTCCCTTATATATGCGACATTCCTGAGTGGCAACGTCGTCGTACAAAGGGAGTTTTAAGTTGAATAAGGAAGGGCAAAACGCCCCCAACGCCTCATAGGGCCCCAGAATAACCGCTACGAATAACCGCCACACAACTTCCCAATGTAAACAAAGTTGGTGTTCTAATACGCCCACTCAACGATGATTAACATCGATAACACCCATGTCCTTCGTAAATTTGTCGTGTTTGGCCAGCGCGAGTCCCTTAGTGAGAACGTTGGCCACCTGATCGCCTGT